TACTTTTTTTTTTTTTTTTTTTTTTGCGGTACGCGGGCCTCTCACTGTTGTGGCTTCTCCCGTTGCGGAGCATAGGCTCCGGACGCGCAGTCCCAGCGGCCATGGCTCACGGGCCCAGCCGCTCGGCAGCACGTGGGATCTTCCCGGACCGGGGCACGAACCCGTGTCCCCTGCATCGGCAGGCGGACTCTCAACCACTGCGCCACCAGAGAACAGGGTATCTTCCTGCCCCTCACCCGGTGTCTTCTGACTTTGCCACATCCTCCTGTTTTTTCTCTCGTCTCTTGGCTTCCAAGGCTGAACTCCCCTACCATTACTCCAACTCACCCTTCTTGATCTTCTTTCCTAGCTCCTCCCTCACAAGGTTTTCCCCAGCTTTCCCCTAAATGTACCCCTGTAGCCCTGGCTTCTCACTGGGGCTCTAGATCTACAGCCACGTCCAATGCCTCACTTGACCTCATCTACCTAGTTGTCCCACCAAACTATAAACTCATGCGTAACACTAGAATCACCATCATTCCCACAAAATCAAGTCTTCCCTTGAGATTTCTGCTTTCTGTTCATGGTTTTTCTGAAGCAAAACCTCAGAATCACCTTTGGCTCCCCTCTCTTCTTCACTGTCTTCTCCACCCACCTCCCCATCACCACTTCTCAAATCCTATTGAAATTTGCTGATTCTTCTGAAAAAAGATTCTCTTATTCACTTCATTCTTGGGCCCACTGGAACAAGCTAGTCAGACTCCCCATGTCTCTAGTATGACCTTCGTAAAATACCACCCTTATTTCCCTACCCTTCCCCTCCACCCCCCACCCCCTCCAAATTCCACCTCCCCAGGGATTCTCCAGCATTTAAGGAATGAGAGTCAATGACTCAGCCTGACTTTCAAGACTCTCCAGATAGTGGTACAATTATATCCCACCAGCCCAATCCATACAAATTAACTACCCATCAACAGCAATTCCAAAACCCCAAAGCTCTGAAAATCCAAATATTTTTTCACAGCTCATTTGTTAGCAAAACCTGAGGTGAACTTGAGGTTATTATCTTTATCCCACTTGATGTTGCACGAATATAAATGATTTGCTTATAGGGTATTTCCTGGACTTTGCCAGGAGTGTAACATAATATAGAGTATAGGTATTGTATTACCTTTCTAAAATCCAGAATCTTCTAATTTCTTTTTTTTAATTGAGGTAACATTGGTTTATAACATTATGTAAGTTTCATGTGTATGATATTATATTTCTACTTCTATATACACTACAGCATGCTCCCCACCAAAAATTTAATCTCCATCCATCACCATACAGTTGATCCCCTTTACCCATTTCACCCTCCCTCAACCCCTTCCCTTTTGATAGCCACTACTCTGTTCTCTGTATCTACATAATTATTTCTGTTTAGTTTGCTTATTTATTTTGTTTCTGTGTTTGTTTCCTTGTCTTTTACATTCCACATATCAGTGAAATCACACAGCATTTGTCTTTCTCCATCTGACTTATTTCACTTAGTATAATACTCACAAGGTCCATTTATGTTGTTGAAAATGGCAAGATTTCATCTTGTTTTATGGCTAAGCAGTATTCCATTGTATATATTTACCACATCTTTATCTATTCATTCACTGATGGGCACTTAGGTTGTTTCCATCTCTTGGCTATTGTAAATAATGCTGCAATGAATAAAAAGGTGTATATATCTTTTTGAATTAGGTTTTTTTTTTGTATTTTTTAGGTAAATACCCAGAAATGGGATAGCTGGATCATACGGTAGTTCTATTCTTAATTGTTTGAGGAATCTCCATACTGCTTTCCAAAGTGTCTGCACCAATTTACATTCCCATCAACAGTGCATGAAAGTTCCCTTTTCTCCTCGTGGTCGCCAACATTTTCTATTTTTTCCCTTTTCGATAACAGGCATTCTAACAGGTGTGAAGTGATATGTCATTCTGGTTTTGGTCTGCATTTCCCTAACAATTAGTTACGCTGAATATCTGTTCGTGTGTCTGTTGTTCATCTGTATGTCTTCTTTGGAAAAATGTCTCTTTAGCTTTTCTGCCCATTTTTAATTGGGTTGTTTTTTGTTGTTGTTGAGTTATATTAATTCTTTATATATTTTGGATATTAACTGCTTATTATATATATCATTTACAAATATCTTCTCCCATTCAGTAGGTTGTCTTTTCATTTTGCTGTTGGTTTCCCCCTTTGTCGTTGGCATTTCTCATATGTGTGTTAAGATATAACATCTACCTGGAGTGCCTGTTTCTCTCCCTTCTTAGTCTCTACCTACTGAATTTCTGCCTATATTCATAGCCAGTTCCGAAACAGGTCCCCAGTGAGTTATATATATATATATTTTAAATCTCTTGGTTCTTGAAACTTTTTGGATTTTGCCATTGTGGATCAGGTTTGCCATTGTGGATCACAGTTGTGGAGAAGGCTTCACTGACAACTCTTGCCAGAGGATATTTCCCCCTGATGAATTACTAAGGCACTAGGTTAGTAATACCACCACCTACCTATTAGACAATAAGCTCTTTGAGAGTGAAAATAAGTGTTATACATTCTACACCACTGAAAACAGAGTTTAGAAATGACTTAACCTACTCTTCATTATCCCTTATGATTAGATATCTGAGTTTGAAACACTTGTCTCAACTAAATGGCAAGAATTATTTTCCCCATCAGCCATATATTAAATCTTGCTTAAAAGGAAAGATTAGCAAACAATTACTGAATATAAGAAGAATAAAATTCAACCCTTTTAAAATAACTGTATCAAGGAAACAATGTGTTTGAAATTCTCCCTCTTGCAACATAATTTTAAGAGAAAAAAATCCTGAAGATGGCTGAGTGATTTTGAATTAAAATATATACTATAGAAATCTACCATAGTTACTAATCACATTTAAGATGAGCTGATTTTAGTGCAGTTTTTTCTACTTAAAAACCCACAGTGATCTTGCGTGTACACTCTGTGTGCAGGAAGAAGACCCAATGCAGCCGGAAATAAAAATAAATAAATAAATAAATTTATAAAAAGAAAACACAGACCATAAAAAAAAAAAGTATGGGGGCTTCCCTGGTGGCGCAGTGGTTGAGAGTCCGCCTGCCGATGCAGGGGACA